TATATATATATATATGCATTTTCTATGCAATGCAAGTGGTGCCTTTCTATTCTTTTAATTAACAGTGTAGCGTACGTGTGATTTTTAGTACTTGATTTCTTATGAAGCTTATAGATTCATAAAATACAAAACAGATGTTTTTCGAGGAGCAGATATGAAAACAATGTCTTAACAAGTGTAACATTGACACTGACTAAAGAGACTCTTTTTATTCAGCCGACGTTTCGGTGACCGTCTGTCACCTTCGAATTCCTCATGGCAATTCTGACTGGTTCACATCGCACTGCAGCACAGGTGTCGCTGCTATAGATACATTCCACACATATGCGTGATTACAGGGAAATGATTCTACAATGCGGTCTCAAACGTACGGGAGTAGGATGTATAAATAATGTGCTCAGTTATTAAACAAAAGCAGATACAGAGAACTGAGAATAGATTCCACAATGCGGTTTTAAACGTACAGGAGTGTCATATGTACATAACACAAATTACACCAAAACATGATAAAAACACAACATATTTCATGGAGTGATGATGTCCATGACTTCTTAATGTTCCTACAAAATCTTTTTTGTTAAAGTTTGCTGGTATTCCTCTGAGTTACGCAAAAAAGAATTTTTTCGACGGCTTTATAAAAAAATATAAATGACGTCATAATGATGTCATCTGACGTTATTATGACGTCATAATTACAATGCAATCTATGCTAGACAAATCTTACCTGGAGAACGCCCACGTACTAAAATGAACTTGTCTGAGGTTGGGAGTGCATCTTTTCTTTCAGTACGGGAGCCTGACTAGTCGCAACATGCCGGAACGTCAACAGGACCAGCCGCAGGCTAGTAACACCGGTAGGTTTTCATGATTTCTGTATCTGTATCTGTATAGCCGGTATAACCACCCTTCGGAGTAACACACCAGCTTCACAGGCACGCGGCGCGGTCCCAGTTGGCTACATTACACCGAACGACTACATTTTTGTTAGTTTGTGCCTTTATTTAAATTCGATAATATACCCCATTCGGTCATTTAGACCTATTTTCATGGAGGTGTCCAGGGGTCAAACGAATAATAATAATAAAAACGAATTTTTGTCGAAAAAAAGGAATCGACAAAAATATCATTAACACAAATCATAAATGAATAACAGTTACTGTAACGAAAACAAGTCATCGCGTTCTTAGGTCCATAATCGTTCCGTAAGGGTCAGTCACAGTGAAATTAGTGTTTTGAAAGTTGTAAGGGAAGGTGCTGATCTGACGTCTTGTGGTAGTAAGTTCCAGACAAGCGAGGGACCTCCTGTGAATCTCTCTTAGGGGCATGGGTACCTCTATGGGATCAGAAGTACTTTACACTTCATACTATAAATATATTAAATTTAATACGCAGTTTACAAAATCTTAAAGTTTGATGAACGTTATTACTTAAATTAAAGTATGCCCAGCGGAACGACATATGTTATGACATACTTTACATTTTTCAAATTGATCCTTTTGTTAATTCTATCACATATTAAACATTGAGTGGCCAGCTCGGACTAGACATATTTTCTATATTTTAGGATTTTAATTTTATAACATATTTCCTAAAATTTTCTGCCATTGATTAACGATAATAATTTCATTTATCTATTTTCGTTAGGTACCCAACCCATGCAGCAGTCTGAGGCATTGTCTAGGACACAAGGGGACGGTGATAAGGAAACAACCAACCCTTTGTATGTGCCAGCAGCTGGTGAATATTTTCGTCCTTTCTTTGATTCTTTAGAAATCTTGTAACAATATGGTTACTGACTTCTGTCGTTCTACTGCTACGCCTATAGAGGATTGCATGTTTTCGTCCATTAGAAACCATACTATACATTTACCAACGAAAAGAATGTTAGCCTCCTTTGCAGAGTTGTGAGGAGGCGGTGTTATTTTTTTTCGGGGAGCGACGCGAGTTATTATGCAGTCCGCAGAGAGACGTGGGAGTTTGCCGGGGAGAGAGATTTTCGCCGCCTCCGCTTGCATTCGACGTCCTGAAAGAGCTATTGAAACATTTCAGGGCATTTGGCATGGATGGCGAAAGCCTCTCACCCCACCCTTGCAACGCCCACGGCGGCAAAACCACCTCTCTGCGGCATAACTCGCGTCGCTCCCCGAAAAAGAATTATTGATTCACTATATTATTGCATTTTTTGGTTAAACGTTTTGTATCTAGGGTTATATAAAGTAAAGTAAAGTAAAGTAAAGTAAGTATCTAGGGTTCTGGAAACGCTATGGTCATGATTTTCATTCTGTGCCTAAAATTTCGTTTAGGTTTGGGTCCCCAATTCTCCTACATTTTATATTCTGTTACTATGTTCATATTTGCCTTGTGTTAAATCAGTTTCATTGAGTCGTGCATTTTCACCAACTTATCGGCATGTTCCGCTTATGCAGCGTGCAACCTTTTAAACAGCTAACCCAAAGGTGTAATGTTGACAACAAGAAGCAGAAGAAGAAGAAGAAACATCAGAAAAAGCAATATGGGTTCACCACCACTTCGTGGTGTGGTGAACCCATAATAATACCCATATTTTAATGATATTTTGTGATCTCAGAGCAATTCAGGCAGCCAGTATGGCTGCCTGCGAGTCTGTTGTCAGTGTAATGGCAATTGAAATTGTGTATGTCTGGAGTTTGCAATTTTGAAATAAACCATTCTACTACTACTTCTACATCATACTTAGATATTTGAGCCCACAAATACGCCATTTTCTTTATCTTAAATTGTTATTCAACACTTGTGGCACTTGCATGACGAAAGCGGCGTCATTGCCTTGCCTTCTTCGCAGATTGCCGCAGGGAGACTGTTTACCCCCGTTTGCCCCCAAGTTTTCCGGGGAGAGAGTCGGCCAATCTTCTGCCCCTATAATTCAATTGGTCAGCGTCTGTATTGCCCGTAGCAAGGGTGGGG